ATCGCCCTCTTAGTTTCCCTTCAAATTGTTTTATGAGCTGTTCAAAAACTTGAGCATGAATTCTTGTCCTCTACATGGTGATGAGATAAAGTTAAATTAGTTGGATTGAGAAAAAAAGTACTTTGAAAGAATCCAAGTTTTATTCTAACGTTTTTGCATTTTATTCTAACGTTCTAAATGCAATTAATTGCCAATGTCTTGCGCAAGTTCTCGAAAATGAATATAAGGAAAGTAATTAATAGGATTTTTTCCAATTTAGAAAAATTATGAAACCGAATTTAATCAATACTAATTTGTGCAAGTATTGATTCGCAATCAATAAGGCATCTTTATATTGTCGAGAATAAAAAAATAAATGATGTTTCCATATTTTGTCTTTGAATTTAAATTGATTGCAATTTTTATTAAAAAAATCAATAAATGTGATAATAATTTAAAAGTTGATTCTATTCATCCTGCAATTAGCATTAGAAGTATAAAATATATAAGGTAACTTAGAATATACAATTCTCATATCTCTTTGCTACTTGTGCAAGTAATGTGACCAAGGGTGTAAACAATTTACTACACGATTTCTCGCGACAAGTTACTTTGCAACTTGCGCAAGTAATCCTATTTACACTTATATGTTCTTATCTTTAAAATTGATTACACCAGTTTGGGTTTTTTTAAGTAGGCTATGAAATTTATCATTCGGTTTAACTCTTGTCGAACATTGGTCCAAGATAACTGCAAGTTTCAAATTGGTCTAACAACTATGTAGGAGAAGTCACTGGGTATATCTCCAGCTTCACACGCGTACTTATTTGACACTAATCAAAATCAATCAAGCGTTTGTGGAGGAAAGAATATACCTTAAAGAGGTCCAGCTTTGGAACTGGATAACAATACAGACCAGACCGTATTTCTTTCTCGACTTCTCCATGTCATGAAATTGCAATATGTGGCCTTTGTAATGTGAGACCAGACCAATTCTTACTCGACCAGACCAATTCTGTCTGAATACTCCAAGGCTCCAGAAAGGCAAGACAGCAGGAGGCAAAAAAAAAAATTAACACTCGTTTTAGTTGATCTTAATAATGTAGTCTAGTACTTATTCTGACCTTATTCTATGTGATCGGTAAGTTACATGTGTTCTTCTCCTTGCATATTGAAGCTGCCACAAGATCAAAAAATGGTCTACGATCAACTAAAAAGGCGAGGACAGTAATATAAAACATCACTAACATAATAGCAGTAAAGAAACAAGACATTTTAGTTAACATGTACATACCACAAAACAAACTGAAAAGAATTTTGAAAACTCACAAACAAATACATAAAAAACAATCGAGCGAGTTCTCTTCCAGAATACGTACCATAAAAACCATTGATTGGTAATGTTTCCCATATGAGATTAATCCCAATAGCAGACATGGATACAAATCGATTCGTAACCCTGCTGGCCTAGCCCTAACCAGAATCAGCAATCAGTACTCAAGAAAGCAGTTATCGGAACAGTGAGTGAAACTCGATCCACCGGAGAGAAAGAAGAAAACAACGGCGAACTTGTCGAGGAAGCAGTACTCTATATCAATGGTTCATTCCGTTCTCGTGGAAGCTTCTTCTATCGATTTGATGAGCTCAATCCACATTTATTCAATGACTCCGAGAATTGATCTGGATATGTCGAACTCATNAAGCAGTTATCGGAACAGTGAGTGAAACTCGATCCACCGGAGAGAAAGAAGAAAACAACGGCGAACTTGTCGAGGAAGCAGTACTCTATATCAATGGTTCATTCCGTTCTCGTGGAAGCTTCTTCTATCGATTTGATGAGCTCAATCCACATTTATTCAATGACTCCGAGAATTGATCTGGATATGTCGAACTCATCTGATTCTGCTCGGCCTTCGAATCACCATCAAGAAGATAACCCCAAATCGAACTCCAAGGATCAAGGGAAACCTTGAAAAATCGCAGCTTTTAGTTCTTCCAATGAAGAAAAGAGATAATCGTATATTGCTTTGGAGTGTTTGAAAACGTAATCAAAGTTGTTCTCAAATAACTCTTGGACGCTGAATAAAAAAAAATTATCAAAAAATCAACCAATAAGATTAAGAGAATTAATCCTAGAAGCTCTTTATGAGTGCCACCTATTGAGAAATCACTAAATTGACTTCTTTTTTAATATATAGAGAATAATAAAAGTTCTATCCGTCGAAGAAAAAAAAAGATGTCATAGTATCTGTGAGATTTGTAGCCCAATTAAAGCCCATATGATTTTTACGGGCTTAAAATGAATCAACATAGAAAGAACCAAAAAAACAGAAACTCAACAGAAGCCTAAACAGATAAAACAAAACACCAGAGCTTTGTCCACCTTCCATTTTAAAACATCCACCAGGCTTATCTCTCCACCTTATAACTTCCACATAATTACAGCACAGACCAGTACACACACTAACCGTTATTCGTTACACAACACAAGGGTAGATATGGTTTACTTGAACGAGTCACTTATTTTCAGGAGTTAGTTTTTTTTTTAGTCAAGAAACAAGATGATTACAGTGGGATATTAAAACAGTTTTGACATATTAGTGGATTCAGTTGAAAGAATTGACCTTTTTTTTTAACATTCATTTAGTCTAATATTTTTGTTTATTTATTTATTTTTGATAAAATTTACTTACTTTCATTAAAAAAAAATTTGTGATGAAAACCATATCTGATCAGGCCTGGGAAAAAAACATATTTAGTGATACAAAGTATATTGGCTACCACATCTACAACATTATCCAATTCAAATATAGAATGTCTTCCAAGTAATTTATGAAAGTGGACAGATCATCTTTTACGGTCCACCATGTTAATCATCTCGATTGAATCTTAAACTAAAGTGATCTACTAATCATTTTGGTTCCTAGGGAGAATTGAACTCAATACCAACATAGGTACATATTGTGTCCCACCGAGACTACTATAAGGCTATCGCCACTTGGTTCACTAAAAACAATTAAAAATGATTGTTTCCATATTTCGTACATAGGTAATGTTTCCCATATGAGATTAATCCCAATAGCAGACATGGATACAAATCGATTCGTAACCCTGCTGGCCTAGCCCTAACTGGAATCAGCAATCGGTACTCGAGAAAGCAGTTATCGGAACAGTGAGTGAAACTCGATCCACCGGAGAGAAAGAAGAAAACAACGGCGAACTTGTCGAGGAAGCAGTACTCTATATCAATGGTTCATTCCGTTCTCGTGGAAGCTTCTTCTATCGATTTGATGAGCTCAATCCACATTTATTCAATGACTCCGAGAATTGATCTGGATATGTCGAACTCATNAAGCAGTTATCGGAACAGTGAGTGAAACTCGATCCACCGGAGAGAAAGAAGAAAACAACGGCGAACTTGTCGAGGAAGCAGTACTCTATATCAATGGTTCATTCCGTTCTCGTGGAAGCTTCTTCTATCGATTTGATGAGCTCAATCCACATTTATTCAATGACTCCGAGAATTGATCTGGATATGTCGAACTCATCTGGTTCTGCTCGGCCTTCGAATCACCATCAAGAAGATAACCCCAAATCGAACTCCAAGGATCAAAGGGAAACCTTGAAAAATTGCAGCTTTTGGTTCTTCCAATCAAGAAAAGAGATAATCGTATATTGCTTTGGAGTGTTTGGAAACGTAATCAAAGTTGTTCTCAAATAACTCTTGGACGCTGAATAAAAAAAAAATTTATCAAAAAATCAACCAATAAGATTAAGAGAATTAATCCTAGAAGCTCTTTATGAGTGCCACGTATTAAGAAATCAAATTGACTTCTTTTTTAATATATAGAGAATAATAAAAGTTCTATCCGTCGAAGAAAAAAAAAGATGTCATTAGAGCATCTCCAAAAAGACACTCTATTTTAGAGTTTACAAAACTCTATTTTTGAAGTTTCAATGTGTTCTTCTCCAAAAACAAAACTTCAAATCTAACTTTAAAACTATTTGTATTTACTCTAGGGTCCTTATATTTGTAATATTTAATATAAATTCATAATTTTCTATGAAAAACATAACAATAATATTAATTAAAAATATTTACTCTAAAATATAATACTGTAAATAGAAATACAGAACTAAATAATAAAATACAAAATATCACATTATTTCAGAAAATTATTTCCATAATGCTACATATTTAGTTACACAATACTTATTTGGATAATATTTGGAGATTTTAAAGGTTTCAGAGAAAATTTACCATACTATTAATATTGTTGTAATATTTAAATTTATATAATATGTATGCTTTTCATGTACCTTTTTAAAAAGTTTTTTTTAAGTTTATTTTGTAATATTCGCGAGTCTAGTTTTAGTTTTAAAATAATACTATAAATTTTATTTTAAATTTTTATGTATAAAACTTAAATTTATAAAAACAAATCTGAAATATTTATAAAACATAATTTCCGACAAAATATTGAAAAATCATAAGTATAATATATAATTAATTGTAAGGATCAAAATGCAAATAAAAAGATGAAACTTCAAATTTGAAGTTTTAGGAATTGAAACTTCAAAATGAAGTTTCACTCCCCAAAACTTCAAATTTGAAGTTTTGAAGTTTCTTTTTGGAGAACCAAAAACTCTATATTTGGTGTTATAGAGTGTCTTTTGAAGATGCTCTTAGTATCTGTGAGATTTGTGGCCCAATTAAGCCCATATGACTTTTTACGGGCTTAAAATGAATCAACATAGAAAGAACCAAAAAAAAAAACAGAAACTCAACAGAAGCCTAAAACAAAACACCAGAGCTTTGTCCACCTTCCATTTTAAAACATCCACCAGGCTTATCTCTCCACCTTATAACTTCCACATAATTACAGCACAGACCAGTACACACACTAACCGTTATTCGTTACACAACACAAGGGTAAAACCGTAAAACACTACCCTTCTTTCGGTCTCCTCCTCCTCTGCATCCTCTATCTCCAACCATTAACTTTTTTCAGAAAGATAACATTAACAAAAATTCAAATCCTTAACCAAAAAAAAAGATAGAAACTTTACATTTATGATTTAAGTACACGTCTACATATAACTCGTAAGATCAATCCAACTCCACTCTCCCAAAGATGAAGGCGTCAATAAAGTTCCGCGAGGAGAAGAACCCTCTCTTCCGAGCCAAGGTTCCTCTCAACATCCTCGGCCTCCCGTTCCAATCCGGAATCGTCGCCGGAGAATCCAAAGAACTCAGCCTCAACCTCACAACCTTCTTCGAATCCGGCCCTTCTCTCAAACTCGCTTACCGCCCCAACTCCTCCGACAACCCATTCTCCCTCATCGTCAAAACCGGAACCGGACCCTTCGGTTCTCCGATCTCAACCTCCATGCTCATGAGCGCCGAGTTCAACCTCCTCGGCAACAACAACAACACCCCAACCTTCATGCTCCACTTCAAGCCCCGATTCGGCGACTTCTCCGTCAAAAAGTCTCATTCTTCCTCCGGATTCGCCGGAGGTTTGCTCAGATCGGAGGAGGATTCGTCGATCGAGGTCGTGGAGGCTCCGGGGATTAGGAAAGTCACCGTCTTGCCGTCGACCTCCGCCGGAGATATCGCCGGGTTGTTGTCCGGTGTCGAGGTTGCGGCGAGGACGTCGTTGCCGGTGAAGGGACGCGCGGTGGTGAATTTCAGGTGGGGGGTTAGGGTTCCGACGGAGATCAGGCGTGATTTCGATCCGACGGTTGAGATTTCGTTAAGGAGGTTTCCGTTTCTGGTGATGGATAAGATAGGGATCGAACACGTGGACGGGTCTATCAATGGGAAAGAGAGAACAAAACCCGCGAGCGATCCGGGTAAGGTTTCGGGTTCGACGAGAACGAGTGGTGATGATGTGTGTTTGGTGTTGGAGGGGCTTCGGTCGGAGAATAGAGAGTTGAAGAGAGCTGTTGAGGATCTTAGGGGAGTGATGGTGTCGAATGTACGGACATTCTCTCCGGCGGTGATTGATTACGGATCGTATTCGAAGTACCGTGAGGGTGAGAGGGGTAGCAGCAACAACAGTAGTAATGGTAGAGGGAGAGGTGAACGGTGGAGTAGTGAGAGAACGACGTCGGATTATGGAGGGAAGAAGAGCAAGGAAGAGGGTGACGTGGCGGAGGAGCTGAAGAAAGCATTGAAAGGAGCTTCTTCTTGAATGGTATGTGGGAACTCTCCCATGTAGTCTTCTTGATTTAGATATGGCTTTTGTATATATATGCGTTAAATTACTACTGCATTTTGGAAGACTTCTACTTTGAGATTATGTTTTGAACTCGTAAGTTTCTTGATTTGAATCAGTTTAATATGTTCTCACTTAGATATGAGCTGAAATGTATGATCAATATCAAGTATGGTTGAGCTAAAAGGTTTTTTATAAGAGTTTGTGATTTTATTGATTTAAACGAAGTAGGAGATTTGATAGTCTCTAGGAACTAGAAAGTTACGTGGAAGCAATTGATCAGGCACTGTGACTAAGATGTTACAAGGAGTTATTAGTCATGTTTAGTTAACTCTTTGTAGTGGTAAGTGAGAAGACTTCTCTGCCAATTCACAGGACATGTAAATCTTATGATGAATCTATGACTGTTTTGGTGATGAGTGCTTGTAAGTTGGTTCAACAAAAAATGGGAATAGCATCAAGCATGTATGATTTGCTGCGTATTTGTGTGATAATCTGAAGGACTGCTAGGTTCTTTGCATGTTTGAACAGTTTGATGGAGAATTGAACCCTCTGTTGAAGAGGGAAGCTTTCCAGGAAGGAGATGAGCTATTTTTTCAATCCTCACATACCAATCCTATCTTCTGTAGAATAAAGCATTTGATAATAAGGCGCTGGAATCATCATGTTCAACACTTTAACACTGACCCGTTTCTTATCTAATCCCAGCAAAAAGAAATAAAGAAAGATGTTCTTAGTGATTGTACAAGAACTAAAGAGGATTGTACAAGAGCTAAAGAGCTCAATCAATCAAGTGCATAAGAGGCTTTTTTGGTGATACTCATCATTGTCCTGCACCAAGTCCAGGAGGAGTTTCAAATTCAGGATCTTCCCCAATTCTCCACTTAATATCTCCAACCGGTACCTGCAATGAATCATTTTGAGATCAGATCTTACAGAGAAAAGAAGCTGACAACAGTTAAACTGTGTACAGTATTACCTTTCTAACATCAATCCAGCTTAACGTTTCATTCATCCACATCACGTTCAGATCTAAAGTCTCCAGGCGATGCTTCCCCTAGCAAAAGTAAACTTCTCAGAACATGAACAAACGCATAAGATAGAGAAGAACACACAGTAAAGAGTTTGTTTTATTACCTCTTTTGCGTTATACTCTTTGATCACCAAGTACTCGAACTCCTCTTCGCCAGGCATTTTCACAAGTACCCTTCTTCCAACTAGATCCTCCGGATAAACTCTCCCCCACTTTGAGCGATTTGTAGCAACATAAGTCAGCTTCCTTGCCTGCTTAAAAGTAAAAAGATGAGATCAAGAAACTGAAAGCTTATGTAAAAAGCCAAAATCAAAAGCTCTGCTTTACAGGTTGTCTTGTGGTCACTGGCTTCACTTCTACTATCTTCTTCGTTTCCTTCACTTCTGAATCAACCCTGAGGAAGCAACAAAAATGGTTTCAAGTCATCGAAAGTTAAACCCTTTATGATAAAAGTATATACCTTTGTTGATAAGCAACAAGATTCTTCTTAATGTTATCCTCAAAAGAGACGCGAGTTTCTTGACCAATACTCCACTCGTTCATAAGCTTCTCTATGATCTCATCCCTCTTCTGAAGCAACACCAGCACAAACCCAATATGATATATCATAGAAGCAACACACACAAGATTTGATGAAGAGAGATGTGTTACGTTTCCTAATGATAAGGTTTCAACTCTGAAAGCGAGAAGAACAGAGTAGAAAGCTCTTCTTTTTAGTTCGTTGAGTTTCTTTTGCCTTATAAACTCTTCTGAGAACTCGTCTGTCATGTCTTTGTCATCATCATTGGAACACTCTGAATCTTTCTCTGGTTTTGACTCTTCAGCCATTGATGTATCCTCTGCATCACAGGAGTAACAGAATCAAGATCAAAGTACAAGAAGAATCACTAGAAAACCCTAAAGAGATTGCGATCGAAATGTTACACAAGAAGTTGATTCGTGAGGAGTTTCTGTAACACACGTACCTTCGAGAGGATCTGAGTCTTGATCTTTCTGATTCGCCATTAGAGAGATAAAGAGAGAGGGAACAATCGATGGAACAGAGGAAACCTTTGAGCAATCTCTGGTGTTGTAGAGGTGAATGATATGTATAGGACTTACGAAAGAAGGTAAGGTTTTTGTGTAGTGTAACAAACTTTGACGGTTTACTTGAACGAGTCACTTATTTTCAGGAGTTAGTTTTTTTTTGTCAAGAAACAAGATGATTAACAGTGGGAAATTAAAACAGTTTTGACGTAAAATTAGTGGATTCAGTTGAAAGAATTGACTTCTTCTTTTTAACATTCATTTAGTCTAATATTTTTGTTTATTTATTTCTTTTTTGATAAAATTTACTTGATTTCATTTTTGATAAAATTTACTTGATTTCATTTTTTTTTAATTGTGATAAACTCCTGTCGAGTGATCCGATTAGCTCCATGATGAACATACTTAATGCTACAGAGTGTATTGACTACCACATTACTTGACCCAGAGTGCCTTCCGACTAATATCCGAGAATAGAATGATTATTTTTTTACAGTTCATCATGTTAATCATTTGGGTCGATTCCCAAATCCAAATTGGTTTAATAATGATAATTTAATTCATAAGGAGAATTGAACTCAAGATCACATACCACGAAATTACCATTAGGCTATCATTAATTTGGTTCACTAAAACGATTAAACAAAAAACAAAAACAAAAACTACTCATTAAATTTTAATCTAGATGTAATGGATATCATCAATATCTTGTTCACCGTGTACACCAGATGCTCTGTTTTTGGGTAGAAGGAAAGATAGATAATTAGGAAAAGGAGAGTGATGAAACCCTAGAGATGAATGGTAAGCTTCACGGCTGACAAAAAAAAAAATGGTAAGCTTCACGTTGATGGAGAATCAGTTACGTGCTAACCAAGTCTGCATGGTTTCACTTGCATATTACAATGAAATGTTTTGACCTAACGTACCTTGTCGATTTGCATTTTACAGGAGGTATGTATATCCGTTGATGTAACCGCATGTATTCATTATATAATATATTTCTAGGTATCTACATATATAAAGTCATAAACTGCAAAGGTCAACGAAATATGGGGTTGTGAAAAGATGACTCTATATCATGAATACTAATTGCTTGACAAAAAAATCATGAATACTAATTACCTATTTCATTAAAAGCCAAAAAGTTCTAATCAAACGCATAATGTCTGGTACTTTGTTGTCTTGAAGTCTTGGACAATGAAACTATGCATAGAATATTGTAAAAATAAAAAGAAAGAATAGTGGAAGAAATTAAAAGTATCCATTAGAACTCATGTTTAGTTGTAATATAAAAAATACAGTACTACTCAGTCAACCGAGGCTCCATGCTACTTAATTAGAGTGATTCTACTTTCGCTTAAATACGGATAACTTTAAGTTTAAGACGAGGTTATGAAATAGAAACTTAAAGCATAATTCTCTCATGTTTAAATATTAACTAATGGCTTTTAGAATTTTGAAATGAAAGTACTCTACATTTTCAAGATTTGCATCAAATCAATCTATTTTTGTCAATTAACTTTGAATTAAGATGTTTTTTTTTTTTTTGTCACTGGAATTAAGATGTTTTAAGGTAATCTATTTCACTTTATAAATTATGTCATATTAAAGACTTGAACTTCCAACAGAGCCATTTCTTGACTTTTTTTTTATCTTTTGTAATTCGTTTTATTTTCTTTCTCAAAGATCATTTGTAATTCTAATTTTAATTACTTTCCCGTTTAATTAATCTCTTCAAACTTTCTCAAGATTGAGCATAATTAAGTAATAGGCAAGTTGGACTTAGTTTACCAAACACTACTCAAAACTCACAACTAAACTGAAGGTGCCCAATTAATTGGACTCATGGACATCAATAGTTAGTGTCTCTTGTCTTATTAGAGAGTATCATGTTTCACTAACAACCCCCAGAAGTTCAACATCTCGCACATTACCCCAAAAACTTTCAAGATACACTTTCACCACCTTTTGGCAATATTATCCAATCAAGCTAGCTAAGATTTTACAACATGATTATTAACTAATGATACAAAAGTCAAAATCTATGTTTCACATCTGATAATTCACAAACTCCTTTGTAACATTTCTTGAAATCTCCTGTAAGATTCGACTTTCTCGAGCAAGAATTTCTCATGACAATTGGCAATGAACATGTCTGCCAAATGATCAATATCATTATCATCATCATCCACTTCTCCAACATCTCTGATCTCTTCTGAATCTTCTACATCTTTCTCCTTGTGCTCGAGCCACTCGAGGTAGCCAGAGAGCTGAGACTCATCATCTTCCTCACCTTTGATGTCAGAGACAGAAGAAGGGAAAGGTTGAGGGACAGGAACAACATCAGAGGAACACCAGTTATAATGCAACCTGAACGACCCGAAAAAGATCTTGCGTTGATTCTTTGAAGCCTTTCTTGGAAAAAACGTCATGAGCTTTCGTTTCTTGTTGTTGTTGTGTTTAGAGATCTCTAGAAAGATTGATTTGGCTCTAGAGACAGCTCTAAGGAAACGGTAGAGAGGGTGCGCGAGGAGATTTTGGACTAGGGTTTTAAGTTTCATGGACGGTGACGAAGTAGACGAAGATGAAGATGATGATGATTTGAGCTCCATGACATAAAGACTCAAAAGAGAGACTCTTTCTTTCTCACACTTATTTTGTGTTTTTTTTTTCCTCTCTATGCATTAAACTGAACAACACTCGCGGGACTTTATACAAGATGTTCCTGACTTCTCTGCCACTCACTTCTTTGTTATTTCTGAATAAAGTTTTTGCACTAGTATGCGTTTTTGTAATTTAGTTTTCTCCTAAAATTATTGTCCTGTGTAAATAGTCTCTTATCTTATTTTATTTTTGTAGCACGATTATAAACTTTCGTAGATTTTTTCTCTAAGTTAAAGTGGATTTGTTATTTCATAATTCTTAGCAAGAAAATGTTGTTATAGACATTACAAATATTTAAATAAGAAAGGTTCTTGATAAGTTAGGTGTGATTTGTGTTAAGTTATCGATTAGGATAGACACGCAAAATAAATGAACCACATACACGTAATCTTTACACATACAATCATAAAACGTAGATTGGTCTGCCTTCTTTGTACTGTATTGCATAAATTTTAAAAACCAATATAATTTTGTGGTTTTACTTCTATTAAATTGATTTTCTGTAAGCTTACTTTGTTTTAGAGGAGACAAATTATGTATATGTGTCGTCAACACAAGAAGTAGAGTGAGCCACAACGTAGATTGGTCTGTCTTCTTTGTATTTTATTGCATAAAACCAATATATTTTGTGGTTTTTCTTCTATTGAATAGATTTTCCATAAGTTTACTTTTCTGAAAAATAAATTGATGTATATGTGTGGCGCAACACAAGGAGTAGAGTGAACCACAAAAGGGTTTGGCTGAGGACTGAATTTTCAACTCCTAATTAGGTATCGGGAAGAGATCAATCTAATTAAAACTTTTCGTAAGGTTAAAGAAACCAAATTAACCACTTCCTAGTATTTTTTTGGCGTTGTAATAATATTGTTTTGTGATCTCAGATTCCCACCACTTTATGTCTCACTTCTGTTAATTTGATATAACTAATTACAAACGCAGACAACCTTCTGAATAATCTATAATATTTTATAGAGGAAAAAATAACTTTATAAAATGTTATATACTTTTTAATCAACAATTAATAGATATATCAGCAAGCTTGTGGATAGTGTTTTGAATAAGGACCACAACTCATCCTACGACTTCTTTTAAGTTATAAGTTTATACACACTTCTTAACTTCAACCAATGCCCACATTTCCCAAACTTAGATCAGATCGATAACAATGATTTATTATATTACAATATATATGTAAAACTATCATTTTGTAATTAATTAGGAATTAATTAATTATTGATCATTAATTAATTTTGTTGGCTGGTGTTCATTTGGATCTACGAAGGGATTAAATTTAGGCAATCGGATCCACCTTGTCGTCATGGAATCTTGGACCAGTTGCAGGAATTTTTAGTGGTTCATAAGCCAAACAAATCCCAAATAAGCACATGTCTTGTACACACAATTATATATCGTTAATTACATATGCATGTATTAGCTAATTTTTTTTTCGAAACACTAGTTAACTAGCATGTATTAGCTAGTTAGTAATCACAATCATTGATTTAATCTCCACACACATATACTGGAAAAATATTGATTTTGGTAATAACAAATTTGTCATCCTTGTTTGCAAATATTAAATGTTATACGGAGAAACTATAAGACTATTTCTCTAATTTGAATTTAGATATATATATATAGCATAACTTGTTTTGTGGATGATATAAATAAGTTAACTATATCTCTGATGTTCACTTTTTAAATAGCCGCGAACGGCGCTTAATGCTTAAGCTTCGCTGAAAACCTCAAAGACCGAGGGTATTATATAAAACGAATCACACTATTTCTTAATAACTAAATCTAATATATCCAAAGTGGCGATCTGATCTAAAGGTAGTCTTTTAAGAGATACTAGATTTCGACCCGCACAACCGTGCGGGTATATTAATACGAAAATATTTGAAATTATATGATAAAATTTATCAATAAATCACTATAAGAAAACTCGTCCATTACTAGGACGGGTTTTCCTCGTTAGTTCCTAGTAAATGGTCTTTTACTAGGAACTTACGAGGAAACGCGTTTCCTCGAAACACATTCATCGTAAAGCCATTTTCCTCGTAAGGTCGTAGCGAATTTACGAGGAAAGCTTTCCTCGTAAAGGCGTGGTAATATTTTCCTCGTAAGGTTCTCGTAAGCTTTCCTCGTAAGCTCGTAGTAAACATTTCCTCGTAAGGTCGTAGTGATACATTACGAGGAAATTACTAGGACTGTTTACGAGGATATTACTTGGAACAATTACGAGGATTTTGCTTGGAAATGTTTTTTTTCCTATTAAAAAAAATAATTATAAATAATTAATTTATTTTTTAAAAATAAAAAAAATCAAATTATATATAAAAAAAATAAAAAACAAAATATTTTATAAATAACTAGATAATATACAAAAAAAATTTAAATTCATAATATACAAATAAAAATAAAAGAAACTACGGATGCTGGTCGTGAAATTGCTGAACGAACCGGTCGTCGTCCCGGCTCGGCAAATTCTCTCCATAGTTGGTTGCCGGCTGTGACTGTGATGGCGGAGGATGTTGGGTACTTGGAATCCCTACACGTTCCCGTCTCTGACGTAACAGCTCCTGCACTTGCGGGTTTCCAACCGCCATAATGTCGAGGATATCGGTGAGAGAAGTGACATTCTCGGTGAGCGAAGTCACTTGAGACTGCGTCGCCTGCAACTCCGAGCGCAGCTGATCATTGACATCGTGCTGCTCCTGATGATAAGACGATGTCGCTGCAGGGACATCGTTAACCGAGCCAATCCCGATGA